TTCTAATAGACCGCAGCAATGACATGTCCACTCACCACCTGGTCAAGCACAGAATCAGGAATGGGCTGGATGTGAACATCTGGCACCACCTCTGCAACGTCTACTCCAGTGCTGCCGTCTGCCTGCCACCCAACACCTCGCCAAACTCATCCCTTTCCTCACACAATCAACCCGGACCCCTCTCGCATGTGACACACACTCCCACTCAGTGAGTGGCACTCACCAGCTGGTCGATCACAGAGTCAGGAATGGCCCGAAAGTAAACCTCTGCAACATCCACTGCTGCTGCCTGCTTGCCCGAGTTCAGATTCGTTATGAGAACTGCCCCTACAGTGCGGGCAGGCGCGCAAGAGTAGCCTCGGATGAACTCCCGAGCCTCAGCTTCGGAGAGAGGCTTCTCCAGAATCCGATCCTCATGCACCACCACCTGTGCAACGAACAAGAAACAATCAACCATCAAGCATCAAGCATCAAGCATCAAGCATCAAGCATCAAGCATCAAGCATCAACCATCAAGTATCAACCATCAAGCATCAAGCATCAACCATCAAGCATCAAGCATCAACACAAGCTGCATTTGCAAAGGACCCAATATGCTCCAGAATCCGATCCTCGTGCACCACCACCTGTGCAACGAACAAGGACGTACATACATGCATCATCACAGACTAAAGCATCCCCACCCCACCAGGAACCATCAACTGTCAACCACCAGTTGCATTTGATAGGACCCGGGCTTCTCGAGAATCCAATCCGCATGCACCACCACCTGTGCAACGAACGAGAACGTAAAAGCATGATCACCATAAACCATCAACAACAACTCCATATACACCACCACCTGTAAAACGAACGAGGGCGCACATCGTCACACGTAAAGGCATGAGCTGACTGGGCCCCAAACCCGCACTGCTCCACTGTCCAATGTGACCCTTGTGCCTGTCGTCTCTGCTGCAGGGTTCAATGTCAGCTTTTGCAAGAAGATTTCGAGCGAGGATTTGAGGAAGACGAGAACAAGAAACATGTGGATGTGTTGCGACAGAGAAGTGCTTAATACTCTTCAATTCAACTCAACCACAAACGCATGCGCGCGCGCACACACACGCAGAGTCACTCGCTCTCACTCACTCTTGCACAAACTCTTTCACACTCACTTTCTCACACTCACTCTCGTCACTACACTCCACTATACCTGGTCAGCAGTTATTAGCAAAGTTGGCACATCCGCACTTTCCGCGAAGGTTCGTCCCTCAGCCTTTAGCTTGGTTAGCAGGGCGTCTGCCTGATGGGGAGAGACACGTGGCACAAGATTATTGGATGGCAATCATTCGCTTGCGCGCCTCAGCAAATTAAAAACATCCTGAAATGAGAAGGCTGTTGACGAATGTTCATGCAACATAAGGGTTTGAGAGCCCACGCTTTACAGCATACAATCAATCGTACAGATACAAGAGCACTACTGTAGAAGGTTATATCTCACCTTGGCGCGAGAGAGGAGGGAGACAAGCTCGTTGGGGTCTGCACTTCGAATGGCCTCCTCGTCTATCCCTGGCTTCTGCATGCAGTGGCGTGAGCACCATCGCAGAGCAGAAAGAACAGAGCAGTATGAGTGAGAAGAGAGGAACAGGGCATGAGAGCAAGGGCCACACGAGAACCCACCCTTTCCTCTTTCTCAGACCACCTCACCTCACCCCTTCCACCCCTTCATGCCCTCCCAGCCTCCTTCCCATTCCTCTCCTTCGGTTACATTGAGGGCCGAGAGTATATTTCAAAGAGGCAGAGCGTTGTGTTCTCACAATTTAGTGATCTGCTGGGATCGCTTAACCACTTCACCCGCCTTCTAACGATGGGCACAAATGCCCTGATACAATCAACCATCCTATAAAGCACTGTGCAAGCGGCCATCGTTCTCCGTCTTTGAGCGAGACTTTCTGAAATTCTCAAAAGTAGGCTCCGCTCTGCCTCCTGCACGCGTTTTAGGCATCCTCGTTTCCGACCTTTAGTGTGATGTGATCAGACCACCCACCATGATCTCAAACGGCACGCCTATCTCCTGGAGCACCTGCTCCTGGCTCTGGTCCTCCTACTATACGCGTTTCAAGCATCCCCGTTTGCAACAGTTAGTGTGATGAAAGCACCCACCATGATCTCAAATGGCACGCCTATTTCCCGCAGCACCTGCTGCCGGCTTTGTGATGACGATCCCAGAATAATCTGCCACGACATGGAAGCACGGAGCGTGGAGGGGTGGTGGCGGGGTGGGGGAGTGGAGAGCGGGTGAGAGCTTTTCCAAACCTTCCCGAAGCACCTGCTGCCGGCTTTGTGATGACGATCCCAGAATGATCTGCCACGGCATGGAAGCACGGAGCGTGGAGGGGTAATAGAGGACCAGAAATACATTTGATTGATTCCCAGCATTCCTGCAGCACCTGCTGCCAGCTGTGTGACGACGATCCCAGGATGATCTGTAACCAGATAGATGGCGGAGCATGGAGGGGTGGTGGATGGAGCGAGGGAGAGCCTTTCAGTTTACTCAGGACCTTCCCCCAGCACCTGCTGCCGGCTGTGTGACGACGATCCCAGGATGATCTGTAACCAGACAGATGGCGGGGCATGGAGGAGTGGTGGATGGAGCGAGGGAGAGCCTTTCAGTTTACTCAGGACCTTCCCCCAGCACCTGCTGCCGGCTGTGTGACGACGATCCCAGGATGATCTGTAACCAGACAGATGGCGGAGCATGGAGGGGTGGTGGATGGAGCGAGGGAGAGCCTTTCAGTTTACTCAGGACCTTCCCCCAGCACCTGCTGCCAGCTGTGTGACGACGATCCCAGGATGATCTGTAACCAGACAGATGGCGGGGCATGGAGGAGTGGTGGATGGAGCGAGGGAGAGCCTTTCAGTTTACTCAGGACCTTCCCCCAGCACCTGCTGCCGGCTGTGTGACGACGATCCCAGGATGATCTGTAACCAGACAGATGTCGGGGCATGGAGTGATGTAGGTTACTAGCCTACATTGCTCTGTATTTCTGGTTATATATTCTAGATAGCCTCAGGCAGTTGACGGGTCAAGCATGAGGAGAATGCTGCACGGGAAAAGGAGACCCTGACGCGTCGTTAACTGATAGCAACGTAGATTGCTTCCTACCGACTCCTACTCATAGCGCGTTCTACCTGGCAGTTCTTCATGGTTTCTCTTTTGAGTCTACTCAAAAGTCAGTACCTACGGAACTCGCTTCCTTCCTAACAAGTCCTACTCAAAGCGCGTTCTATCTGGCAGTTCTTCATGGTTTCACTTTTGAGTCGACTCAAAAGTCAGTACCAACGGATTTGCTTCCTTCCTAACAAATCCTACTCAAAGCGCGTTCTACCTGGCAGTTCTTCATGGTTTCTCTCCACTCAAATGCAGGCGGCTCAACCTCGATCCCCGCGGCTCGCACGCGAATTCGTCTCGTGGCGCTATGAGCTTGAGAACAGTAGCGAGGATTAACGACGATTGTAGTTGAGAGTAAAGATGCTGAAGAGAGATCGAAGCTTCTGGGAGACGGAATGTGGCAGCGGAAGGTGCGACTGACAGGAAATATAGCTACGTTACGCTGGGATTGGGCGGGAAAATTGCGGGGCAATGGCTGCCGGAACCTAGATAGTACCGCCATGGACCAAGTGATGGTGGCTTGTTAGAATTAGGAACTATCTGCTCTGCTTCTAATTTGATCAACCACGAGACAATTGCACAGATTTGGTTTCGCTAGAAACACTATTTTACCGCTCGTCTTTCAGCTCTGATGAAGGATTACACTGTAGTTCGACTGAAGCTGTAATGCTGCAACAGCTCCTAGCAAGTATGAATTTCCCGCTCATTTTGTATAAGCACAATATTTACAGAAGATCACCCCACCTATCCCCCCAGAAACTGCCGCAGAGATCCTGGGGCCTCTCTGCATATGCAACCTCGATATGCTCCCGCTGGAAAGTACAAAACAATCGGGACCGTCCGATCCGTCACTCTCACCAGAGTTCTGTAGCCTCCATTCGCTGAGATCGGAATCCACTGCCGCCAGAATCCTAAATTCTCTGCCTTGAAGCCTGCGCAGGAGCATAGCTTGTGCTAGCTTATTGAGTTGTGCTTAGTCAGTAGCATAGCGGAACATCAATCGAGTCGGGGTGATTTTCCTTCTGAGCCAGCGACACACTCCATCTCGGCCTGGACATTACGCTGGTGCCGTACATTCTATCCTCGTTCCGCCAGACTCTTATTCGGATGAGGTATGAACGGACTCGAGAGGCTGTAATAGTCGATCCATCACCAGCTTTGTTCTAACCGTTGAAGTGCACTGTCGAAAATGAGATAGGATTGGACTTGAGACGTCCATGAGCACCCAAAGACCGGATTCAGTTTTGCAAAGGAGATAAGTACGGACTTGAGAGTAAATGGGAGTTTAGATTCGGCGTGAGGAGTATTTACGCATGGTCTACTTGAAAGCCTTACAGATGAAGCTTAGATACGATGAGAAGCCAGCAGCAACGGTAGCAGATTGATGCTGATAAGTTGATACATCAATGAGTGGAGGAGTTGGAACGCAGATTCTCATATTCCCTGCCCGCTCGTTGGTGCTCCAACTAGCACCAACTCGTTGGAGTTTCGTTACTAGCACATGCTTCACTGACATAATGCAATGTTACCTCATCAATGCACATGTTTTCCTTCCATACGACGCGCGCCTTATCGGCAAATTCGTGCTGTTCTGACTCTCCTTGTGTCTCACTCTCCGCACACCCTTCTTCGCGTCCTTGTTTCAGGTTCGCGTAGTGCCGTTCCAGCAATCGTGATCGCCTTTTCTCTGCACCGTTCGATCACCGTGTACTAACGAAGCGATCCGCTAGCAGCTACCTCCGATTTCACCAGATTCCAAAATCATCTCAGTCTCCGACAGTAGATTTTAGACGTTTCAAAGCCGGTTCCGCCTTGCCGTCGCTAACCAGATTCCGTCAGGCAGCCAGCCATGCGGCACGGCGTGCGGTCGTCGGGCACGTTCTCGGCGTCATGGAACTTGTGGATCATGGTCACCATCGCCGTCGTCCTCGTTTTCTTCGGCGCATGGGCCATCTTTTCCCCTTCTAACAGCGCAGTGAGTTCCCGTAGATACTGGAAAACGGATTATTCGATGTTCTCGGCGTCATGGAACGTGTGGATCATGGTCACCATCGCGGTCATCCTGGTCTTCTTCGGCGCGTGGGCCATCTTCTCCCCCACTAATAGCGCAGTGAGTTCCCGTAGACACTGTAGAACGGGTGATTTGATTGTTCTCGGCGTCATGGAACGAGTGGATCATGGTCACCATCGCCGTCCTCCTGGTCTTCTCCCCCCCTAATAGCGCAGTGAGTTCCTCTATACTCCTGAAACCGGGTGATTCGAGTGCTCTCGGCGTCATGGAACGAGTGGATCATGGTCACCATCGTCGTCGCCCTGGTCTTGTTCGGCGCAGTGACTTCCTCTACACTCCTGAAACTGGATGATTTGATTGTTCTCGGCGTCATGGAACGAGTGGATCATGGTCACCATCGCCGTCCTCCTAGTCCTCTTCGGCGCGTGGGCCATCTTCTCCCCCACTAATAGCGCAGTGAGTTTCTTCGGAAGCCAGAAGCCGGGTAGTTCGCTCGATTTTGCGGGAAGTTGGGTGCATCAAGCTTTTAAGCCGACGAAAGACGGGGGATCTTACACTGTAAAGGTGCTGGAAGACGGGGGATTCATGAACTTTCAAATGTCATCAACGTGTGGAGTGATCCGTCATGATCGCTTGTCAGTTATATTTTTCCCTTTTCGATCTATTGTTGCTTCACCATGCACCATTGGCTGGTGCAGCGGCAGAGGAGGAGGTGGAGGACGAGATAGGCCATTTGGTCGCCGCAGCAAACAGCACTCTGTGATTCGTCCTTACCCTTCGTTTTATTCCCCTCGTCGCCTAACCACGGAGGCAGTGGCAACCGAGGAGGAAGTGGAGGACGTCACAAGGCAATGGGTTCCCACAGTCGAGAACTGCATGCTGTGATTTATCCCGCCCTGTTTGCTCTCCTCGTCGAACCCTCGCCAGGCCGTGGAGGCAGTGGCGGAGGAGGAGATGGAGGACGTGGTGGGCGAGTCTGTCCTTCTTCACGGTTGGCAGCGGCTTGCTGTGTTCCGACCCTGTATTCTGCTCTCCTCGCCGCCCCCCGCTTCCCCCCCCCCCACCCCTTTCTCCCTTCCCGCTCACCTCAGGCCTTGGAGGCATTGGCGGAGGAGGAGGTGGAGGACGTGGTGGGCGGGTTGGAGCCGTCAGTAACCCAGTCAGCATGCTGTCTTGTGTTTCGTCCCTCCCTTTGTTCTGTTCTCCCTGTCGCCCCTTGTCACAGGCCGTGGAGGCATTGGCGGAGGAGGAGGTGGAGGACGTGGTGGGCGAGTCGGAGCAGCGGCTGGAAGCTGATGTGAAAGTCGCCGAGGCGATCCAGAGGGCGAAAAACCGAGCCAAGGCCAAGGTGAGATTCTTTAGACGTCTCATAAGTTCAGAGTCGGTCGCTGTCCCATGAGAGCCTTTGACGTCTCAAAGGAGGGCAGCCTCTCCCTTTGTACCAGCACCTGGACCTGGACCTGGACCAGTTCCCCTCGCTGAACCATTTCTTTCCCCTCCTACCCGCGCTCTTCATTCCGTCTCCCTCCCTCGTCAGGACGTGGCGCTGAAGGCAGAGACCAGGCCAGCAGCTAGCTGGCAGAGTAAATCCTCTAAACCGAGACCCACCTCTTTCCACCCCTCTCAACATCCCTTCCTTGTCAGGATGTGGCTGTAGAGGCCGAGGCGAGCAGCGGGCTGGCAGAAGAGACGGGCGCTGAAGGCGCAGGGGAGGAGGACGAACAGGGGGTTGAAGTGGCAGGAGGCGAGGAGGGCGGGAGTGAGGAAGGGGGAGGGGAGGAGGGAGGAGGTGAAGTTGGGGGAGGGAAGGAAGCGGGGAAGGGTGGGGAGGAGGAGGAGGGAGGCGGAGAAGAGGAGGAGGAAGGAGGTGGTGGAGGAGGCGGGAAGAAGGCGGCTGTGAGGGAGGAGGAAGGGGAGGCAGAAAGCGAGGAGGAAGGAGAGGAAGGAGGGAGTGTGGCGCAGAGGAGCAAGGGTGGAAAGGGAGAGGAGGCAGCAGGCGAGGAGGAAGAAGAAGTAGAAGAAGGGAGAGGCGGGAAGGGAGTGCAGGGGAAGAAGGGAGGAGAGGAAGAGGAGGCTGAGACAGCAGGCGAGGAGGGAGGGGAGGGAGAAGGTGGTGCAGAGGAAGGGGGAGAGGACAAAGTTGGGAAGGCTGCTGGAAACTCCAAGGTGCGTCCTTAGAGGACTAGAGGAAGAAAGGCCGAGAGCTAAGAGATTCACCAATGATCCCAACCTCCCCATCTCTCAAATGGTCCTTTATTCGACTTCCTCCGCCTCTTCCTTATCCCAACCTTCCCTCTCTCTTATCGGAACCTCTTCCTCTTTTCTCTTGCCCAGTTTTTCGTGTAGTGAGTCGAGTTGAGTCGACTCAAAACTCGACTTCTCCTCCTCTTCCTTGTTCCAACCTTTCCCTCCCTCTTATCGGAACCTCTTCCTCTATTCTCCTGCCCAGTTCTTCTTTGCTGACCTGGCAGCGGTGGAGGCAGCGTGGGATTCAGAGGACGCAGCAGCAGCAGACCCCAACGTGCCAGCAGCAGACCTGCGCACAGAGAGCAGTAGTTCCGAGTTTCCCCCTTCTTCCTTTCTCTCCCTTTCCCTTATCCCAACCTCTCCTTCGCTGTCCCTGCTTCAGTTCTTCTCTGCTGACCTGGCAGCGGTGGAAGCAGCGTGGGACTCGGAGGACGCAGCAGCAGCAGATCCCAACGTGCCTGCAGCAGACCTGCGCACAGAGAGCACGAGCTCTGAGGCAGGCAGTGGGCTTGAGTCTCAGGCGAGAGAGTCGGAGGAGGAGGCGAGGCTGGACATTCGGGAAGCTGCCACGAAGAAGCAGGAGAGCAAGAAGACGGAGGTAGGTTCTGAAAGAGGCGCGTAAGTGTACGATATTCAGTGTTTTAGGGTGCATTTAAGGGAGGCAGGCAGTGGGCTCCCATCACATCACAGGCGAGGGAGTCTGAGGAGGAAGCGAGTCTGGACATTCAAGAGGCTCTCACCATTAAGCAGGAGAGCAAGCAGACGGAGATAGGGGTTGTTTAGGATGGAGAGCGGTTGAGGTGGGCAGGAAACGGTAGATGCAGACTGGCAGGCGGAGGTTGAGGGATAGAACGTGCGTACTGAGGTGAGGGAGTAAGCAGATGGAGTCGGGGGGAGGGAGTGTAAGCAGGAGGGGTTTTTCCTTCCCCTAATTTGTTTTCCCCTTTCTCCCCGCTCATCCCCCACCCACCCGTCGCCACGACGACTTTGGGGAGGTGGAGGGAGGAGCGGCGACCATTCATAGCAGCCCCGAGAGCAAAGAGCCGCCGCTCATGGCAGGGCCAGCGGGGCAGGGCACAGGGGAGGAAGGGGGCGGCGCTGTGCCCTCCCTTGACCTCCAACACACTAAGTTGCATTTGAGTCGACTCAAAAGGGGGCGGCGCTGTGCCCTCCCTCGACCTCCAACACACTAAGTTGCGCTGGCCCTCCTTCGGTGGTAACCGCACGGACTGACCTGCTTCCCTGCCTTTGATGTCTTCGCCCCCCACTCGCTCCCCTGCGCCCGCACTCCCCAACCCCCGCACGGCCACCGCTCAGGACGACTTTGGGGAGGTGGAGGGGGGAGCGACGATCATCCAGAGCAGCCCCGAGAGTAAAGAGCCGCCACTCATGGCAGGGCCGGTGGGGCAGGGCACAGGGGAGGAGGGGGGCGGCGCCCTGCCCTCCCTGGACCTCGAAAACGCCAAGTTCCGCTGGCCGTCGTGCGGTGGTAACCTCATGGTCTGGACTGTTTTTCCTGCCACTAATTTTTTCCCTCTCCCCTCCCCCCCCCCCCTCCCTTCTCCCCTGCACCTGCAACCCCCAAACCCTGCCCGCCCACTGCATCAGGACGACTTTGGGGAGGTGGAGGGGGGAGCGACGATCATCCAGAACAGTCCCGAAAGCAAAGAGCCGCCGCTCATGGCAGGGCCGGTGGGGCAGGGCACAGGGGAGGAGGGGGGCGGCGCCCTGCCCTCCCTGGACCTCGAAAACGCCAAGTTCCGGTGGCCGTCGTGCGGTGGTAACCGCACGGACTGGGTGCCGTGCCTGGACAACGAGAAGGCGATCAAGGCGCTGAGGACGAACAAGCACTATGAGCACCGCGAGAGGCACTGCCCGCTGCCTGGCGAGATGGAGAAATGCCTGGTGCCGCTGCCCAAGGGGTACAAGGCACATGTGCCGTGGCCCGAGAGCAGAGACCAGGTGAGACGCGGTGCTGTGCGGTGAAACGTGGTGAAATGGACAGTGCGTTGGGGTAAAGTGCGGTGAATTGGGGGAAACAAGCACTATGAGCACCGGGAGAGGCACTGCTCCGTTCTGGGAGAGATGGAGAAGTGTTTGGTGCCACTGCCCAAGGGGTACAAGGCTCATGTGCCGTGGTCCGAGAGCAGAGACCAGGTGAGACGCGGTGGAGCGGGGTGAGAAGCGGTGTGAAGGGGGCATATTGACAATAGTGGCACTCTGCAATACACCCATTTAGGGTTATTCCCTCCATGTTATCCCATGTGGCCCTGTATTCCCTGCACCTTCTGTTGCTCTCCCACCATCTCCTTCCTCCTAGGGTCCGCTCCCCTCCCGCACAGGGTACGTGAATCTTTACACTGCTGCCGCTCGCCTTCCCTCTTCCGCCACACCTTCCTAGCGCTGCTTCTCAACTCCCTCTTCTTTCTCCTTCTGCAACTCTCTTTTCTCCTCCCCACCTTTCCCACAGGTGTGGTAGGACAACGTGCCGCACCCGGGCCTGGCGAGCTACAAGCTGGGTTCTAAAGCGCGCCATAGTTTGTCTCAAATGCCTCCTCTCCCCTCTCGTAACTGCCTCCTCCTCCCCCCTCCCTTCCCCTCTCAACAGGTGTGGTACGACAACGTGCGCACCCGGGCCTGGCGAGCTACAAGCTAGGTACTAAAGCGCGCCATAGTTTGTCTCAAATGCCTCCTCTCCCCTCTCGTAACTGCCTCCTCCTCCCCCCTCCCTTCCCCTCTCAACAGGTGTGGTACGACAACGTGCCGCACCCGGGCCTGGCGAGGCGAGCTACAAGCTGGGTTCTAAAGCGCGCCATATTTTGTCTCAAATGCCTCCTCTCCCCTCTCGTAACTGCCTCCTCCTCCCCCCTCCCTTCCCCTCTCAACAGGTGTGGTACGACAACGTGCCGCACCCGGGCCTGGCGAGCTACAAGCTGGGTTCTAAAGCGCGCCATAGTTTGTCTCAAATGCCTCCTCTCCCCTCTCGTAACTGCCTCCTCCTCCCCCCTCCCTTCCCCTCTCAACAGGTGTGGTACGACAACGTGCCGCACCCGGGCCTGGCGAGCTACAAGCTGGGTTCTAAAGCGCGCCATAGTTTGTCTCAAATGCCTCCTCTCCCCTCTCGTAACTGCCTCCTCCTCCCCCCTCCCTTCCCCTCTCAACAGGTGTGGTACGACAACGTGCCGCACCCGGGCCTGGCGAGCTACAAGCTGGGTTCTAAAGCGCGCTGTAGTTTGTCTCAAATGCCTCTTCTCCTCTCTCGTAACTGCCCCCTTCCCTTCTCCCTTCCCCGCTCAACAGGTGTGGTATGACAACGTGCCGCACCCGGGCCTGGCGAGCTACAAGAAGGATCAGAACTGGGTGGCGATGGAGGGAGACAAGCTTGTGTTCCCGGGGGGTGGCACGCAGTTCACCCATGGCGCCACGGGGTACATCAACTTCGTCCAGAAGGTACGGTGCGATTCGGTGCAGTGCGGTATGGTGTGATGCGGTTGCAGTGTTGGTATGGGGCCTGGCGAGCTACAAGAAGGATCAGAACTGGGTGGCAATGGAGGGAGACAAGCTTGTGTTCCCAGGCAGGGGCACGCAATTCACCCATGGCGCTACGGGGTACATCAACTTCGTCCAGAAGGTATGGTGGTGCAGTGCGGTGTGGTGTGGTGTGGTGTGGTATGGTGTGATCAGAGTAATATTGATGCAGTATGTTACGGTGTGGTGTGGTGCAGCAATTTGCGGCACCCAGGCCTTGCGAGCTACATCAAGGATCACAACTGCTTCCTGCATGGGGTAATAGAATTCACCAACTTCATCCAGAAAGTGCATTGCCGTGCGACGCAGTGTGGTGTGGTGCGTTAGGATATGGTGGCCCTGAGAGGTGACATGGGTAGTGCGTGCCGTTTTCGACATAAGCTGTGGGCTGGGGTGGTATGGTGCATCATTATCAGACCCTCGTTCCCTTCCTGTGGTATGTGGCATGGGCCATAGAAGACCATGCTAATCCCGTGCTAGTCTTCTGGGCACATGCATGTCGTGGTATGGAGTAACGAGTAACTTTTCGCCACCACAAGTTGTTTTATGTCGAAACAGACCATTTGATGTCATACTTACCTGCCAGACTACCCACCTCTCTTCTCCACTCCATCCCCCTTTCCCCGCGACACTCCTCTAACCAACCACCACAGGCTTCCCCAACGTGGGGCAAGTGCATGCGAAACATGGGCTGTGGGTGGCCTGGGTGAACAACTTTTTGATTGGGGCTTGTACCTGATTTCTCAAACACTCCCTCCCACCAATTCAGGCCTTCTCCGATGTGGCGTGGGTGGGGCAGGCGAGTGCGCGTGATGCTGGACATGGGTTGTGGCGTGGCGTGGGCTGAGGTAACCAACTCCTTACACCCCCCCACACCCCCCCACATCCCTCCAACCAATTCAGGCCTTCTCCGACGTGGCGTGGGGTAGGCGAGTGCGCGTGGTGCTGGGCATGGGCTGTGGCGTGCATTGCGAATACCAGTCTGTGCTGGCATGTGTAATCCTTACCCGTTCTCCCCTGCCCGTATCTGCACACCCCACCAGGCCTTCGCCGATGTGGCGTGGGGCAGGCGAGTGCGCGTGATGCTGGACATGGGCTGTGGCATGGGCTGAGGTAACCAACGCCTTACACCCCCCCACACCCCTTCCAACTACTTCAGGCCTTCGCCGACGTGGCGTGGGGCAGGCGAGTGCGGGTGATGCTGGACATGGGCTGTGGTGTGGCGAGCCTGTCAGCATATCTGGACGCGTTTGACGTGCGAGTCATGTCCATGGCACCCAAGGACGAGCACGAGGCACAGGTGAGGGCAGCACATGTGCGGGACGAGCTGTGTTCACAGGGTATGAAGCTGGGGTGAGGCAAGAGTTGATGTCTCAAGCATGGCGAGCCTGTCAGCATACCTGGAGGCGTTTGACGTGCGGGTCATGTCCATGGCGCCCAAGGACGAGCACGAGGCACAGGTGAGGAGAGAGGTCACGTTTTATCAGGTGAGGAGAGAGGTCACGTCATCAGGTGACTTGCGGGTCATGTCCATGGCGCCCAAGGACGGGCACGAGGCACAGGTGAGGGCGAGGGGTGGGATGGCACAGGCACAGGGAGCAAGTTCCTTTTGGGCTATCGGGCGAATGGTTGAGAGTTGTGGTGAAGGTTTGAAGCCTGTCAGCATACCTGGACTGGAGGCGTTTGACGTGCGGGTCATGTCCATGGCTCCCAAGGACGGCACAGGTAAGGAGAGAGGGCATGCTGTAGGGCTGTGATGGGTTGTGATGGGTTGTGATGGGTTATGATTGGTCCGATGGTTGCCAGTGGTGGTTCTGTGTGAGGTTGGTGCCTCAGATGTCCCTGGTTTCATCAGCGGTTTCTTCACTCCCTGCTAGTTTTAGATTCAGTTGGCTTTGGGAGGGAGAGCGCAGGCAGTGACAGTGATAACGGGCACGCAACCGACTGCCTTCATGCTTCATTGCAAGTTCCCTGTTTCAACCGCCGCCACTCCAACCGTTACCACCCCTAACTCCCCCCTCACCCCCTCCTCCACGTTCCTTCACCATTCAGATCCAGTTAGCTCTGGGCAGGGAGTGCTGGCGGTGGTGGGCGTGATGGGCACACAGCGCATGCCCCTTACCCTTCAAGTCCCCTGTTTCAACCGCCGCCACCCTGATGTTACCAACCCCCCAACTCCACCCCTGCTCCTTTTTTCGTCCACTTCAGATTCAACTGGCTCTAGAGCGAGGGGTGCTAGCGGTGGTGGGGGTGATGGGCACACAGCGCCTGCCCTTCTCCTCCAACTCCTTTGATGCCGTGCACTGCGCTAGATGCCGTGTGCCATGGCACATTGATGGTGGGTGGGGGATCATTCCCAATCAAGCATGTGTGCATGCACTCCCTCTCTCACTGTGCCTTCCCTTCTCCTCCAACTCCTTGATGCTGTTCACTGCGCTCGATGCTGTGTGCCATGGCACATTGATGGTGGGTGGGGGATCATTCCCAATCAAGCATGTGTGCATGCGCTCCCTCTCTCACTGTGCCTTCCCTTCTCCTCCAACTCCTTGATGCTGTTCACTGCGCTCGCTGCCGTGTGCCATGGCACATTGATGGTGGGTGGGGGAGCATTCCCAATCAAGCATGTGTGCACGCGCTCCCTCTCTCACTGTGCCTTCCCCTCTCCTCCAACTCCTTGATGCTGTTCACTGCGCTCGCTGCCGTGTGCCATGGCACATTGATGGTGGGTGGGGGAGCATTCTCATGCCCGCATGTGATCTGTGCACACACATAAGCATTGTCTCTCTTGCAGCGCCTGCCTTTCTCTTCCAACTCCTTTGACACCGTGTACTGCACTCGAGCCTCGTTGCCGCGTGCCATGGTGCATCGATGGGGGGTAGTGTCATGCAGTGCATGCTTGTGTGCACACACTCTACTCTACACATGCTCCCTCCATACAAACGCACACAT